ATTGCAACTTCTGTGAGCTAATGTTACTAGTTTTGTTGTTGCAACAACATGCTAAACTTGAGTGGCTATAATAAATAGCATACTGTCATAACGTCTAGATCCGGGGATCTATCGCTAAACATTGACTTAAAGGAGTTGCCACCAATTTTTTTTATCTAGGTGTGATTGGCCATCTAAGGAATCTGTCCTTTCAGGGAACACCTAAGTTTAAGAGTCCCTAAAAGAATAGGTTCAGGTCTACTAACCAGAACAGGGTTCGAGAGTTCGGTTGCGTGTGAGGAAGGTTATAGCACCCTCACAATGCCCATCAAAAGATGGTACCAGCTTAAATTTATGTTATCCAATGAGCCTTAAAATTTTACCAAGTAATTAACTATTACAAATTATTCTCAATTGACTCTAATACTTTTAGCAGAAAATTGAAAAAATTCCCTCACCTCAAGAGTATGCAAGAAAACTACTGTTTTACCTACAGAGGCTCCATCGTCGGATTATTTAACATTAAAAAAAATGAAAAGAAAGAAAAGAATGATTGTTTTTGTGTAGGAAAAATTGATACTTTCAACTTTTCCCAAAATATTTTTTGGAAACTTTTATTTTCGAGAAAAATTGATACTTTCAACTTTTCCTCAAAAACTTTTTTTGAAAATTTATTTTTTTAGAAAAATTGATACTTTCAACTTTTCCCGAAAATATTTTTTGAAAACTTTGATTTTCGAGGAAAATTGATACTTTCAACTTTTCCTCAAAAAAACCTTTTTTTGAAAATTTATTTTTAAGAAAAATTGATACTTTCAACTTTTCCCTAAAAATATTTTTTTGGAAAAGCTTATTTTCAAGGAAAATTGATACTTTCAACTTTTTCTCAAAAATATTTTTTAGAGAGCTTATTTTACATATTTTTATTCCTTTTTTATTTATTCCTGCAAAAAATATTCTAAAAAAAAAATAAACATATAAAAAAAACCTACAAAAACACAAAGAAAATAAACAAAAAAATAAATTTCCAGATTGGGTCATTGCACTTTCACTTGATGATTCCCATGCTTTTCTGTAATCTCTCTTTTTTGTTGCCGTAATCCTGAAATATTACTTCAAGGACCCAACTGTTGCTGATGGATATTCGAGAGGTTTTGTCGAGCCATTAACTAATGCTGCTGCTGCTACAAGTTTGGAAGATTATTAGGTTGGCCTAGCAATCTCTGCTGTTGCATGTCCGCAATGCTATTTTGTTGTCCAATTAACTACCTCTACTGTATATTTACAGCATTTGTCGTTGTCCCATTATGTTTGGCTATTGCAGCTGTTGCTGTGGCTATGGACTCAACAAGGTTGAAGTAGGTGAGACAATTGGAGCCTGAAAGAGTAGGGGTGAAGATGTATGAAATTGGGCACTTGGTTTTGTACACTCATATTAATAACCTGAAAGTTGACCAGTTGAGAGATTTGCTTGAAGAACCCCAGGATTAACACCGATTCCCTGTCTCATGTTCACATCATTTTATATCATCCATTTCATGCAGCTGCTTTCGTTGCTGCATCTAAATCCCTTAACAACTGCAGCAATACCATTGTTTTAATAACAATTACTAATATTACAGCTGCTAACAATATGTCAACGTGATTCCAAAGAAAATGCACATGAATCAACATCCCAATACTGGCCAGGAAGAGAACAGCAAAGCAATTGCAAATTTGCTCAACTTGTTCAAGTGTATAATGATCAGATCAAAGGTTGATATCATCACTCTAGCAGTAAATGAACCCCGCTCTTCACTAAGCAACAAGCAAGCAAAATGCTACGGATGCCAACTAATAGAGCTCCTTAGTCAACGATTTAGTCGTGGATACTACTCCTTGAAGGACACCAGAACTGCCACCTAGAACTGGAAGCAAAGCAAACAACAAACCCACAGCACAATCCCATAGGATAAGAATTTAAATTGTCACCTGACCATGAAGGGCACTTATACCAATCCTTTCTATCAAAAGTTTCGAAACCACTGCTGTAAAAGACATAGACAAGAATGCACCAATAAAAACCACCTCAAAAGGTTTACCTCCACATAACTGCAAAAAACATATAGCGAAAATTGTTATACCACACGAACACGTGAAGAGAAAATTTTGAAAAAAACCTCTAAGGACAGCAACTGCTCGAACAACACGAAGCTTTGTTGTTGAAAACTCCAAGCCTGATGCGTGAATCGTTGGCTGCATATTTTGGTGTAATTGATTGGGCTGCTGTTGCAAATCCAATTGTTGCTGCAGCTAAGTAGACTGTAATTGCGTCTGTGACATCAGATGCTGTCTTTCGCATCATCCAATCTGTGCTCCCAAGGGGTTCATGGATGCTTTGTAGCAAGGATTCCAAGCTTTGAGATGCAATTGCTCCCACTTGTGACAAACTCGCCACTACTGGTAAAGAGGAAGCCTTAGCCATAAAATTTTGATTATTCAACAGCTTGCAGATCCTTGGACACAGCTTCTGAAAAGCAGTCGAATGAGGATCAGTTGCACATTCCACCATCTTAGCCATACACGTTGCCCGACGTAACAAAGTGGAGCGCATTTTTCAATGTGTTCTTCAGAACCTAGTCCAGGTATGGCGGCTAGAACTTTGGGTGACCCACCATCCAAGCAGCTGTTAGCTGGAACTCTTCTTAAAGCAACTTGCCCATTTCTGGAAGGCATCGAATGCGGGAAATCCCAATCATCAGACATTCCAGATCTCCAAGAAGGTCCTCTTTTCCCTCAAACCTGGAGTAATTCCATCAGATTGGACAAATCTTGGTCTTCAATCACTTCTCGGGTCATGGATGGGGATGTCACTTACCAAAGAGGGGTCTTCAGGGCTTAGCGGCGACCGGGGGGGCTTCCCTCTTTGTTTTTGGCTTCTGTTTTTTCTTCCTTCTTTTTTCACCGTTTCCTATTCGGATCCCTCTTCTATCTTTTCCTCTCTTTCCTCTCCCCTCTCTAGCTTGTATATTCATTATTGATATATAAATCCATGCTGATAGAGTTTCAATTCAACTTCAATTAGTCATCCAATGCTAAAGATTAGCATCTAGATAACAATCATCACAATCACCAAGCTTTTAGCCCTTTTTTTTATATCAGATAATCAAAAGAAAAAAAAGAAAATAAATCATAAAAATAAAAATAAAATTGATAAATATGAAATAAAAAAAATCTAAAACAAAAATGAATAAAAATCCCTGCAACTGATCTAGGATTAGTCTCAATTAACAAATGATCCCAGATAAAATGGGGTGTCTGCACATACCATAAAGATATGAATCAATATTATCTAAACATTTTATTCTTTTGATTTGAACCAAGTTGATAGGTCATTATCCTTTTTAAGGATGATAATGGATTGAGTTAAAGCAGGTTTATGCTTGTCTTGATTTCAACTCCATTTTTTAATAATTTAATTTGATTTTGCCTTGATCTAACGTTTAGTTATTATTTTTAGTATTGACTTTAATTAAAGATGCCAATCTTATCCATATTTGATGAAGAGCTTGATTTTTTACTCAAATGAAAATGAATATAGGTATTATATTATAGGGATGGAGATGTGGATGAATATAATTTTATAATTTTATCAGAAACGGGGATAGAAATAGATAATATAGCATCGGTCTCGTACCCATACGTTAATATATATTTTTATATATACTGAGTAAATAAATTTTTTATTAAATAATATAAATTATTTTTTATTATATAGAATATTTTCTATTTTGAAAATATATATTAATATATATTTATAAAAAAATTATATAAATGAGTAAGATAAAAGTTAAAAATTAAAAAAATAAAATTTTTTAAAGCTACAAGTATAAAGATTACCTGTACCCATTAAATACTGTTAAGGATGAAGATATGGATAAATTTGAAATTCCTATTAAATATAGATATGAGCATGTGAATAATATAAAAATTTGAAAATAGACAATGCTTTACCCACCCTATACCCTATCTATTAACATCTTTAACTCTGACGTGAAATATATATATATATATAACTCGCATCTAATTCAACTCAATCTAAAATTAATTTAACTATTTTAATTTAATATAATATTAAAAAAACATTATTTTTAATATAAATTATATCTTAATTATATATGTGTAATATTTTTGTCAAATTAATCTCCTATATCAAAATATTAAATAATAATTTTATTAATATAATATATATAAAATTAAATAAATAATAAAAAATATTTTTATATATACACAAGAATGCGTTGGAGCAAAACACCTTAAACCCACTTATCATCTAACCTCGATTTCTAAAAATAAAAAAGTCTCACCCCCTCAGATTAAAATAGAAAATTGCTCCTATCAAATCGAAAAGAAATAAAACTCATCAAATATGAATTATTTTATCATCATGATCCTCTTCACATGGAGTTCTCTTTTGTTATTTTATTTTTCAAATTGAAAAAGTGATGAACCAAACTCTTGTTAACTAGTTTGTTTTTGGGCTTATTAAATCTCTTTCTTACTATTTGGATGGAGTTGTATCCTAATTTCTATATGCTCTCTCTCTGTTTTTGTAAATCAAAGACTTTAGACGCGGTTTTATCTAGACAATCAATTCACACCCTGTGGGGGCACAAACGGATGCAAATTATCTACACGGATTTTGTTAGACTTTGAATGCAATTTTGCTCAAATGGATTCCTTTGCAAATGTAAAGAGAGTCTGCTCAATTCTATTCGTTAAAAAGGAGCCTCTAACCATAGGAACCAAAATTAGTAAAAGGTACGGCATATTGGCATCTTTCTTTTCTATCCTACAATGATCAGTGATCATGAAATAATAAAATCACAAAGAAAGACATAAATAACACAACCTTTACTTCTGAGAAAAATTCCCTTAAAATCACATGGTAACACGATTGTTTAGTTAAGTACTGATTTAGTATTTTTGTTGTCATTTTTTAGAAATATGCATTTTTGTGATATTTTGCTGACGTTCTAAGCTCCAGTAAATCTTTTGGGAAGATCTGAATGCAGTAATACAAAGGAAAGTGAGGCAGACAAAATTTGTTGTAGTAGATAATGTAGTTGAAGACTTATATTGTATTTTGCATATAAATTGAAATGAAAGCGTCTGTTGCTTATCAAGAGTTTCTAAAACCAGAACAGGTTCTCTTCTTCATTCTATTCTCTCCATTCTTCTTAGATTACTAAGCCTTCAAAGAGTATCAGAGCTACTGTGACCTTTGAAAGGCTGTAAGAGAGAGAAAACAAGCAAGGTTCTTTTCACTACAAAACCAGAAAATCCAGAAACCAGTGAGCACGTTCATGTCTTCAAAATTTTCTTTTCACTACCACCACTTCCTGTTTTTACAGGGGAGAACTATCCAATTTGAGTTGTGAAATCAAAATTTATCTCAAGTTACATGATTTGTGAGAGGTTGTAAAAGGAGGTAGAGATCCACCACCACTGAGAGCAAATCCCACTATAGCTCAAAAAAGCAGCAGAGTGAGGAATGTGCAAAGAAGTTAGAGGCTATGTCTTGCATTCAATCAATGGCTTGTGAAATAGCAAAAGAAGCCGGGGACAAGCTCAAGGAGGAGTTTGAAGGATGTGATAAAACCAAACAAATGCAAGTCATAAACCTTAGAAGAGACTTCAAGTTTTAAAGATGGAGGGTAACGAAACTATCAGATAATATACTGACAGGCTCATTACTGTTGTGAACCAGATCCGGTTCCTTCAAGAGGAGCTCACTTATAAAAGGATTGTTGAAAGGATTTGGTCAACTTGCCTGAAAATTTTAGTAAAAATTCTCATCATTTGAGGACTCAAGGGATCTTTCAAGCATGTCTTTGACAGAGCTTGTAAATGCCCTGCAAACACTTGAACAAAGAAGAGCCATCAGGCAAAAGCAAACAATTGCAGAAACATTTCTGGAAAAACAGAAAGAAAAGGTTGCGTCAAGCAATGGAGGTAAGAGGAAAACCAATGAGAGAAAAGAAAAAAGGCAAGGAGACTCAAGGCAGCAGAGGTGGTGGCAGGAAGGGCAAGTATCCTCCTTGTTCCCACTAAAAGAAGAGGAATCATTCAGAAAATTTTTGCTGGTTTAAACGTATAATTCAGAGCAGATGTGTATGCAATGTGGCCATGTAGAGAAAATTTGTAAGAACAAAAAAGATCAACAAGGGCAACAAGCATAGATTGTTGAAAACAAGCAGCAACAAGAAGAGCAATCGTTTGTGGCTTCATGCTATGCAACAAACACTTATATCAAGGCCTGGTTGATTGACAGCAGTTGCACAAACCAGTTGACTTCGAATGAAAGCAGCTTCAAGGAGCTGGACAAGACCTACAACTCAAGATTAAGGATTGAAAACAGTGAATTTGTATGAAGTGGTTGTGGCTGTTGGAATTCCAACAGGTAAAAAACTATTATAAGAAGCTTTATTTGTTCCTAAAATAAGCCAAAGCTTGCCTAGTGTGGGTCAATTGCTTGAGAAGAATTAGTTTTAAATTTTTCGAAATATGTCATGCACAATTGTTGATTATGATGGTAGTGAACTGATGACTATTAGAATAAGAGACAAGAGCTTTCCTATGGAATGGAAAAACCTGATATGCATGCTTGCACCACTTCTATTGATGAATCCACTCTTTGGCACAGGAGATTTGATCATTTTAACTATGTTTCTATTCATGTATTGTAAAAATTAAACTCAACATACGCCTGCGCTTGATAATTGCAAGAAAGTATGTGCTATGTGTCAGTTTGGGAAGCAAAGCAAGCTTCCATTTCCAGCAAATAAGGCATGAAGAGCTTCAGAGAAGTTACAATTGATTCACTAATGTATGTGGACCTCAGAAAACTTTGTCTTTGAATGGAAGCATATATTTTATTCTATTAATAGATGACTTCACTAGAATGTGTAGGGTCTATTTTTTGAAGATGACATCTAAAGTTGCTAGTGTGTTTCAGAGATTCAAAGCCTTGGTTGAGAATCATGCTGATTGGAAGATCAAGGTGCTAAGATCAGATAATGGCATTGAGGATAGCTCTGACAAATTTCACATTGAAGCTGGTATCGAGCACTAGTTGATTGTTTCCTACATCCAACAAAAATGAAGTAAGAGGAAAAGCAGGATTATAATGGAGATGGCAACGTGTTCACTATTAGAAAAGAACCTTCCTAAGAGTTTTTAGGCATAAGCACTCAACACTTCAGTGTATCTACTCAACAGACTACCAACCAAGGCATTGAAGAACAAGAGTCCATTTGAGGCCCGGTATGGAGTTAAGCCAATCGTGGAGCATCTTACAACTTTTGGCTGCATATACTACTCTTATGTTCCTGAAGCAGAGAGAGACAAACTTGATCAAAGAGCTAGAATATAGCTAGGATATAGCAGCAATGTCTAAGGCTGGTGAACTTCTTTTGGGGATAATGATCTCCAAGAACAAAATATATCTAAAGAATTTTCTAACTCCGGAAGTGATACTGAGATGGCAATCAGAGGTACTAGATTGTTGTTTGAGATTTATTAGAGGTGCAACACAGCTTTATCAAAGCCTGCCAACCATGTTGAAGCAGCAAGTTCAAATTGTCAGATGGCTTCAATGAAGGAGCTAAACATGATTGAAAAAATTAATCATGGGAACTTATGAATAGGCCTAGCAACAAGAAGCTGACTGGCGTCAAGTGGGTCTATAGAACAAACTCAATTCAAATTATTCTGTCAATAAGCACAAAGCAAGACTGGTAGTCAAAGGCTAATCCTAGCATTATGGAGTTGATTTTTCTGAGACCTTTGCACCAGTAGCAAGGTATGACACTATTAGGGTGTTAATAACCTTGGCAGGACAAAAAGGCTGGAAAATCTTCCAACTTGAAGTTAAACCAGACTTTCTAAATGGCTATTTGAAAGAAGAAATTTTTGTTAAGCAACCCGAAGGCTTTGTTGCTGCTGGCTATGCAAATAAACTGTATGTGCTTAAGAAGACTCATTATGGCTTGAAGCATGCCCCTAGAGCTTGGTATAGCAGAATATGCTTATTTGTTGAAGCTAGGTTTCAGCAGAAGCATCAGTGAGCTTACTCTGTATGTGAAGCAATCTGGCAGTGAGTTGATTGTTATCTCTTTATATTTTGATTTTCTCTTGGTGACAGTAGCAAGGTATGACACTATTAGGGTGTTAATAGCCTTGGCAGGACAAAAAGGTTGGAAAATCTTCCAACTTGAAGTTAAACCAGACTTTCTAAATGGCTGTTTGAAAGAAGAAATTTTTGTTAAGCAACCCGAAGGCTTTGTTGCTGCTGGTTATCCAAATAAACTGTATTTGCTTAAGAAGACTCATTATGGCTTGAAGCATGCTCCAAGAGCTTGGTATAGCAGAATATGCTTATTTGTTGAAGCTCGGTTTCAGCAGAAGCATCAGTGAGCCTACTCTGTATGTGAAGCAATCTGGCAGTGACTTGATTGTTATCTCTTTGTATTTTGATTTTCTCTTGGTGACAGTAGCAACTTTGCTCTTATGAAGGATTTTAAAAGTGAAATGCAGAAAGTTTTTGAGATGCAAGATATGGGGAAAATATCTTATCTCCTTGGAATGGAGATTCATCAAGACAAACAAGGAATCTTCATTTTTCAAAGAAAGTACGCAAATGAGATTCAGTACAAGTTTGGCATGGCAAATTGTAAACCAGTCGGCACTACATATTTCAAAACAAAAACTTGATCAAGGAAGAAGCAGCAGGCAAAGTTGATGTCTCTGTTTATAGAAGTTTAGTTGGTTGCTTGTTGTCTTTGATGGCAACACAGCCAACTATCATGCATGCAGCAAGTTTGCTTTCTAGGTTCATGCAAAATCCTAGTGAGTTGCATTTCGAGGCCGCTAAAAGGTTGTTACAACATATCAAAGAATCTAATGAAATTGGAATTTGGCTCAAGAGGATTGGAAGCTCAAGACTTTTTGGCTTCAGCGCCTGGGCTCATTCTAATGAAGCCATGAAGAGCACCTCAGCATATGTGTTTTGAATGGAATCAAGTATTTTCACCTCGAATTTAATGAAGAAAGATATTGTTGCTCAATCAACAGCAACTGCAATTAATCACGCAATCTGGTTAAGGAAAGTATTGATGGATTTGAATCAAAAGCAAAAGGATGCAACAGAAATTTATTGTGGTAGCCTGTCAGCAATTGCAATGGTCAAAAATCTTGTGTTCCATGGAAGAACTAAGCATATGAAGATAAAGAATCATTTTGTTAGAGAAGCTGAAGTAGAAAATGGAGTAAAGCTGGTTCATTGCAACTCAGAAAATCAAATTGCAAACATTCTGAACAAGGCCTTGCCTAAAGCAAAGTTGAAACATTAAGGAGGAGTGTGGGTGTTTCCAGCAAAAATGCGAAGTAGCTTTAAGTACTGATCTGGTAATTTTGATATCATTTTTAGAAAAATGTTTTTGGTTATATTTTGCTGATGTTTTAAACTCCAAAACTTTTGGGGAGATTTGAATGCTGTAATCCAAAGGAAAGTAAGGCAGATAAAACTTGATGTAGTAATTAAAGTAGTTGAAAATTTATACTCTATTTTGTATATAAATTGAAATGAAATTGTCTTCTGTTTATCAGAGTTTCTAAAATCAGAACAGCTTCCATTCTTCTTAGATTACCAAGCCTTCACGTATTTAGTATTGAAATGCCACTATAAGTGGAAGAGAGATTGCTCATGAGCAGATCACTCAAGGCTGGAAATAGCTTGCATGACCATTTCATGTAAATCCACGCCTTTTTTTAATCTTTGAATTCAGCAAAGAAATGAAAAGGCATCAACCTTAATATGCAATATTTAAGACATCCAATGGACTGGTAAAACAAGCTTGGTCCTGGCATAATTTCGCAATGTTGCATAACTCTTGATAGCTAATATAGAGGCATGTATGGAAGAATCCATTACTCTTAAACTGACAGCGGATATGTAGATGCATTTAGAAGGAAGCAATTAGAGACAAACCTAGAATGATACTAGAGAAATAAGGCAGCCAGCAACAAGAGAGGAATAACAGTTGAAATTTATTAGTATTATCAAAACTACAGGGATGAAGGATAGATGGTCATGAAATGAGTACATAGTCCCATGAAAATTCAGAGCAGAGTAGAACCTTTGAGAACTCTATCCACCATTATGTTAGCGGAAATGCTGGTGATTGAAGCAGCTGCACTGGTTTTATTGTCAAAGCAGTAGACGGGGGCTTGCCACATAGCATCCTCAAGAGCTGCTCCCACTTCAAATGTCATCACATGCGCCTCCCTCCCTACAGTTTTATGAATAGATTAATTCAATTGAAAAAGGGTAATAGTAAAACTAGTAGTAAGAAATATCTAGTAATTACCGGTGTAGAAGACCCAGTGAACGGGCCTCTTGGTGACAACATCCTCATAATACCAGATAAAGTCTACCTTCTCCCACACATTGCAGAGGAATCCATCCACGTGCTGCTGACCCAAGTACCTAGCTCCATCTAGCCAGTTGGGCCGTAGAATCCCAACCTCAAGTTGTGCACTACTGCACTCTTTGGAGGAGTCGAGGGTATAAAAGAAGGAAGTGCCATTGTTCCACTCAAGGTCATAGAGGACATTACCAAGCTGGTGTTGAATTATGTTGAAGTTTCTTCCATTGGGCCAGTCGTACCACAGGTTGATCACCTGGAGAATTCCACTATAGTTCATAACCATGATGGAGTGGAATTGATGGGGCCATGGGGTTGGGGTTGGGTCTTGGTCCGATGTGGATTTGCAGAAGCCAAGTGAAGTAGTGAAAATGAGAAAGAGGAAGAGCACAATCCTGGGTACGGACTTCATCAGATTCAGAGAAGAGGCAATCTTCGTTGCTTTGCTTCTGTTCAATTATTATGCGTGCTAGGTGTGGTGATTATTAACCAGAGGTAGTGTTGGATTATTCTGGGTACATCGTTTCGTGCAAAACAAAACTTGACTTATTTCCAGTTTGGATAATGAAAATTACGGATCATTTTGATTTTTTTTATCAACATGGTTCATCTTATTTTATTTTAGGTTTGGGTAAATTTGGTTGAGTTATTTGAATCGGAATTATTTCGAATTTAAAATTCAAATTATTCATGTTTAATTTATTAATTTTTAAAATTAAAAATAATTAAATTATATAAAAATTAAAATTAAATAAATTAGAAATTCATTTATTAATAATATGAAAATATATTACATTAAATTTAAAATTGATTTTAATGATAAAAAAATTAATATTGAGCAGATATTTTATGTGCTTCGATGATGGGCATGATTTTGATGTATCTCAACGATCTTCAAATTCTTTATGATGAAATTATAATTTGAAGTCATTTTACAATATTTAATAAAAGATAAGCCCCTAATCAAATGATGTAAGTTTTCTTTTTTTTACGTCACAATAACTAAAACCTAGGAAATTATTAGTAGATATCAAGTCATCATGATGTAAAAGAAATTTTCCAAATAAGGTTCAAAGATGGTAAATGCTAGTAAAACTTTACAAAAATTATGAAATAAGGATAATCAAATAAGGATTATAAAGTCATTGGATAATCAAATGATATAAAGATTTATCAAATGTAAAAGGGGTAAATGCTAGTAACATATATATAACCTTTAGATAAAATTTTTGTTTTATATCATTTTATTATCTTTATTAAATTTACTTATTTAATTTTATAAAAAATATAGGCAAACTAACAAATATATAAGAATAGTTTAATATTTCAATTTTGTTTCTTGTAAATACCTAAAACATTATGACATAAGAAAAAGAAAATTGATCTATTAATTTTAAAATATGAAACAAAATTAATATTATGTTGATATAATATGATTTACGTGAAAAATTGTATTTGGAATAAATTTTAATTCATTATGAATCCACACCTTATAGCTTTACACCTAAAATGAATTCGCAAAGCATATGTAAAATATATATATATATATATATATATATTACAAATGGTTCTATTTTCACCATAATGAGACATGGTACAAATAGTTTGATCACATTAGAGTTTGAACATTACTAAAATTTTCAGTAGCTTGGCGAGATATAACTTCAGAAGAGAAAGGATGCAACTTAGTTACATTCAATTGAATTGAGTCTTGCTCCATCAGACATTTTCTTGACATTTTGTCCGCTTTTAATAAAGGTATTTATACTTCAATAAGAATTGTAAACAGAATGCATCAAACAATAGAAACATAACTTTTAAAGCAAGAATTTAAGGACACAATAACATAAGGCATATATATATATATATTAAAACTAAAAACACAACAACTCTTGTTTTAATGAATGAACTCGAATAAAGAAGTTAGTTCATGGGGATAAGTTATGTTTAGCTATTTTGAATAAATGATCATTAATTGGTAAGTTAATAGAGATAGGGTATGTGATGATTAGGATGAGAAAATATTATGTGTCTCCAAAAAAATTAAGTGGGTAAGAGAAAAAACTAAAGAGACAAAAACATGAGACTCTAAGTTTTGGAATTCGAGTAAGGTAAGAAGTAGAAATAGAGTGAGGATAATTGTAGATAAGAATTTGAAAGATGATGTGGTTAAGGTTAAGAAAAAAAAAAAGACAAATAGAATTTTACATGTTAAACTTATATTAGGAGAGGAAAAATATTAACGTCATTGGTGCATATGCCTTGCAATAAGTTTGGATCAAGCGAGTAAGTAAAAATTTTTGTTATATTTAAAGGAAGTAGTGCAAGCTATACTAAAAGGAGAAAAGTTGTTTATTTGAGGAGACATGAATGATTACTAGGCAAGGATTGTAGTGATTTTGAAAAGGTGCATAAAAAATATGGTTTTAGAGAAAGAAACAATATCAGAGATAATATTCTCAAGTTTGCTATTGTATTTGACCTAACTATATTAAACATATGTTTTAAGAAAAAAGAATCATAGTTAATGACTTTTAGGAGTTGGTCAAATGCTAGTCAAATTAGTTTTTTTTTTTTTTCTAAGAAAAAAGGATAGAAGTAGATATAAGGATTGCAAGGTTATACCAAGTGAGAGTATGACAACATAACATAGACTGCTAGTTCTAAATATCTTTCACCTCCAGAGATCAAAAAGGATACACCAGAGTTATGGACCACGTATTAAGTGGTAAAACTTACAGGTGGACAAAATGTTAGCTGTTATGGATAGTAGGGTAAAATAGGGTAATTTGAAGTTTGATAAGGATATAGAAGTAATGCGAAAAAATATTTTTACCAAAATTCAAAAGGTTGCTAAAGAGATACTTAGCAAATCTAGGAGTTGTGCGCTGTTAGGAAAGGAATTTTGGTAGTGAAATGAGGATGTGAAAAAGACAATTAAAACTAAGCAGGAGTGTTATAGGAATTTAACCAACAATAAGGATTAGGCAAGTTATCTAAAGTATAAGACAACATAACAAGAAGCTAAAAATGTTATTCTAGATTTAAAGACCCCATGGAGGAATTATATAGAAAACTAAAAACAAGGGATGGAGAAAAAGAGTTGTTAAAAATTTCTAAGATGAGGGATGAAAATAGTAGGGATCTTAATGGTGTAAGATGTATAAAAGGCAGTGATAAAAGAGTTTGAACAAAGAATGAAGAGATTAAAAAGAAATAGGAGATTGCTTTGATAACCTCTTTAATGGCAATTTTGAACATGATATAAGTGAGCTTAATATACATTTTAAAGATATAAATTATGTATTTAAACATAATATTAAAAGAAATCAGGTTAAAGAGGCTTTAAAAATAATAAAAGCAAAGAAAGTTGTAGGACCAGATAGAATCTCGATTGAAATTTGGAAATGCTTAAGGTGGAATAGGGATAGGATGATTGATAAATCCTTTTAATAAAATTTAGCTTACTTAAAAGATGTCAGAAGAATGGACAAAAAGTACTTTAGTGCCTTTATACAAGAATAAAGGTAATATATAAAATTATTTGAACTATCAAGGAATAAAGCTTATGTCCATCTAACTAATTAGGTTGTGGAATCCCAACCTCAAGTTTTGCACTGTTGCACTCTTTGGAGGAGTTAAAGGTATAAAAGAAGAAAGTGCCATTATTCCACTCAAGGTCATAAAGGATATTACCATGCTGGTGTTGAATTATGTTGAAGTTTCTTTCATTAGGCTAGTTGTACCAAAAGTCAATCACCGGGAGAATTCCACTATAGTTCATAACCAGGATGGAGTGGAATTGGTGGGTCCATAGGGTTAGGGTTGGATCTTAGTTCGATATGGGTGAAGTAGTGAAAATGAGAAAGAGGAAGAGCACGATCTTAGGTACAAACTTCATCAGATTCAAAAAGGAGGCCATCTTCGTTACTTTGCTTTTGTTAAATTATTATACATGCTAGGCATGATGATTATTACCCAAAAGTAGTGTTGGATTATTTTTGGTACATCATTTCATGTAAAACAAAATTTGACTTACTTCCAATTTGGATAATGAAAATTGTAGATCATTTCATTTTTTCTTTTTATCAATCTAGTTCATATTATGTTATTTTAGATTTGGGCAAATTGGGTTTTGGGTTATTTGAATTGGGATTATTTCAAATTTAAAATTCAAATTATTCATGTTTAGTTTATTAATTTTTTAAATTAAATATAATTAAATTATATAAAAATTAAAATTAAATAAATTAAAAAAGCATTTATTAATAATATGAAAATATGTTACATTAAATGTAAAATTAATTTTTAATAATAAAAAAATTTAATATTGAGTAGAAATTTTGTGCTTCGTGATGGGTGGGCATGATTTTGATGTATCTCAACAACCTTCAAATTCTTCATGATGAAATTATAATTTGAATATATTTTATAACATTTAATAAAAGATAAGCTCCTAACTAAATGATATAAATTTTTTTTTTGCATCGCAATAACTAAAACCTAAGAAAATGTTAGTAGATATGAAGTCATTGCGATGTAAAAGAAAATTTCCAAATAAGGTTTAAAAATGGTAAATGCTAACAAAACTTTACAAAGATTATGAAATAAGGGCAATCAAATAAGGATTATAAAGCCATTGGATAATTAAATGATATAAAGATTTGTCAAATATAAAGAGGGTAAATGCCAATAAAATATCTACACATGAAAAACCTTTTGATAATTTTTTTTTGTTTTATATCATTTTATTATCTTAATTAAATTTACTTATTTAATTTTATAAAAAATATATTAAGCAAACTAACAAATATAGAAGAATAGTTCAATATTTCAATTTTGTACCTTATGAATACCTAAAGCACTATGACATAAGAAAAAGAAAGTTGATCCATTAATTTTAAAATTCCAAACAAAATTAACATTATATTAATATAATATGATTCGGGTGAAAAATTGTATTTGGAATAAATTTTAATTCATTATGAATCCTCACCATATAACTGTACACCTAAAATAAATTTGTAAAGCATATGTAAAAAATATATATATTAACAAATGGTCTTATTTTCATCATAATGAGACATGGTACAAATACTTTGATCACATCAGAGTTTGAACATTACCAATATTTTCAGTAGCCTGGTGAGATATAACTTTGGAAGAGAAACAATGCAACTTAGTTACATTCGGTTAACTTAAGTCTTATGCCATCAAACATTTTTTTGACTTTTTGTCCAATATTAATAAAGTTATTTCTACTTTAATGGGAATTATAAATAGAACGCATCAAACAATAGAAACATAACTCTTAAAACAAGAATTTAAAGACACAATAACTTAAGGCATATATATATATATATATATGCTTTAAGTTATTTATTAGAGAAAAGTTTTTTTATTGGAGGAGGCATAAATGGTCACTAGATAAGGATTATAGTGACTTTGAAATGCTGTGTAGAAGATATGGTTTTGGAGAAAGAAACGATATCATGGATAATATTCTAGCATTTGACCTATTTATATTAAACATGTGTTTTAGGAAAAGAGAATCGCATTTAATGACTTTTAGGAGTGGGTTAAACCCTAGTCAAAA